AAACAAAGCAGACAAACCCCACTTTTTCTTTGAAGAAGTTTACAATCAAGGAAGATCTGCAACGAATCCGCAAACTGATAGAGGACAGAGAAGGCTGGCAAAATATTGTCCAATATACAATGTCACTGAAGATGAGAGAACACGTTAATTCATGACCTCAAATCGAAACAGTTTTGATGATGATGAAGCATTTAGCGAAAAGCATAAGGGATGCTCATACGGGGCAAGACTCTATTTAGAAAAGACGATCATGGCTCTCCACAATTTCCCGTCCTTTGCAGCTCACAATAAGTCTTTGTTGTGGATTCCGTGATGAAATCCAGTCTCCAATGAATGACAAATCCAGAAACGCGGTTAGTAGCAATAATATATATATATATATATATATATATATATATATATATATATATATATATATATATAAAGTCTGGTAAATTCACTCTCGAAGTAGAACTTCCTTCTGAGTCTACGTGCTCGCAACTGTGACTCCTACAAGCGGTTACCTCACACTGTTACTCTACCTCCAACTCAATCACAATCTCTGCTCTTACTACTCTGACTGACTCTGGGTATTTAACGGCAGCAGTCCAAGTACACACTGGTCGAGTCCACTTGTATGAAAAAGGGGTGGACCTCATAACAGTCTTGTCTTTTTGTTATCTCTCATATAACTCAAGCTCATGAGGTAGATTATGATTTGTTTTCTTCTATTCCTCTTGCCTTCAGTCTGTCCTCTGAGTTTCAAATTTTCCAAGCCTTCTTTCCTCATATTTGCCTTAGTAGTTTCAATTCTCACTTCCAGATGTCAAGTACAAGTATCCTTTTTGGTTTCCATTTGCTCTAAAACTTTCATCGGCGCTCTCATGTTCGGTCCATGGTATCCTCAGCATCCTTCTGCAGAACCACATATATGTTGCTTTAAGTTTCTTCTTCATATGTTATAGAGATTGTCCAGTATTCCTTGACGTATGAGAGTACATTCATTTCCATCCTCATCACGTTTTTTTTATTGTACTCTACCCTTAAAATATACAATTACCAACATAACAATCTGAAAAATACGACCTGGGTATGACGATAAACTACATTTGCGTCCTGGGTAAGACTAAAAACTACACCTGATAGCAAGCTCTCTGATCAGGAGGTTTTGAGGATCGTGGAACCATCTCTTAATTGCTGGTATTCCCAGGTTCGCCTGATGCGGAGTGAAAGGACCTGTTAGGGTCCCAGCTATGTGGAAAAAAGTTGACCCCCTCCCAAACTGGGTTCAAAACGCCGTGAAGGTGTAAAAATAGACTTTAATACCAGAAATGCATTTTTGAAGGGAAAATTGTTACCAGCAATACATTTTTGAGGGAAAAATTATTACCAAAAATACATTTTTGAAAAAAAAATATTACCAGCAATACATTTTTTAAGGGAAAATTATGACTAGCAATAAATTTTTGAACGAAAAATTATTACCAGAAATACTTTTTTGAAGGAAAGATTATTACAAACAAAACATTACCAGCAATACATTTTTGAAAAAAATTACCAGCAATACATTTTTGAAAACAAATATTACCAGCAATACATTTTTGAAAACAAATATTACCAGCAATAAAATTTTTGTCGGCATTAAATAACCCATTGAAACAAATCAAAACAAACCAAACTAAACCAAAAATAAAAATCTTTTGTTGTCATTAAAGAACCCTTTGAGGTTGATATGCCATAAAACAAAAAAAAAAACGAAACTAAACGAACCGAAACCAAACCGTAAAAATTATTTTTCAAAAAAAAAAAATAAAATTAAACAAATATTTATTGTTTCCAGACCTCCTTTTTCAAATTTCATTTTGAGTATAGGTAATATTTTATACATATAAATATTTAAACATTTAAATTCATAATACTATTCATGTTTCTTATTCTGGACGTCTACCTTATTTATTTTTCCGTTTCTGGCTCTTTCGCTAATAAATTATGTTTACATCAGTTGCGCATGCGCAACTGAGGTAAATGAATAAATAGATGGAAAACGGAAGCGCGTAAGTTGAAAAGATGGTCAGAGAACAAAAATGGCGCATGTTCTGAGGGAGTAGGGATGACAAGGATAGAAAATCTCAATCAGCCATCCAGTAGCAACAGACGTTTTGCTCTTATCGTACGCATTCCGAATCGATTACATCCAATTTTATCCCCTAATAACGTCTGACCGTTTTACTTTCTCGTTTTTCAAAGCGTTCCTTTAGTTTCTCGCGCTCATGAGACTCCATCCTGTCCACCCCGACTTTGTTGTCTTTGAACTCCAGACGCGACGAAGACGTTTGCTTACCTGATTGTTGCTTGTTGATCTGGGTTCAATGGTGCAAGCGAAGCTAAACTAAGGTTAAGGTAGTCTATGATGGAGACTTTTTGCATATTGGCGCGGTGTACCCTTAAAAATACGGAACTCGCTTGTTGCAGACGTCGGTGGGGAGTTCAAAAAGCATTTGAAGATATGTCCATTTAATAAGTTGCTTATATTTGTTGCAAATTGTCCTTAAACACAGAAACCTCTTCCACTCGCCCAGCAGGTTAGCACGCCAAATGACTCAAGTGTACGTCGATACACTTTATATAAATATCACAAACGTGTGCTGGTTCCATAAAGAGCAGTTTGGCATCTCGACCTGATGTAATGGTTAACAAGCTTGTCTCGCTAGAACCATTAGAACTGAGTAGGGAGTTCTATCCAGTTATCAGTTATTTCCTGTTCATTCCCCTCTCCAAGGTCTTTATCCATTATGTTATGTGTTCTCAAGGACACATGGCACAGTGGATAAAGGCGTTGGTTAGATCCAGTGACAGGACCCAAAGAGTTGTGAGTTCAATACCTGGTTAAGGCAGTGGAGAAATTGGAGAGGGGAATTAACAGGAGATAACTGACATCCATTAGACATGGCACATGGAACTAGAACAGTCTACTCCGCGAGCGAAACAAAGGGTTCAGTTCGACATTCCAACCACCTGAAGAAGGCCGGAGCGTACATCGTCCGAAACGTTGTGATAAATATGGCAAGAAAGATGAAGACAAGAGTCCGAATAATGTAAATAGTGTAATCTCACCCTACGGTGGAGTAATGCGTAGCGGCTCGGATTGAGGAATCGGAGAGCCGAGTTCGAATTTCAGTCGAATCCATTACATTCACTTACGTGCTGATAACCTTGGGAACGGTATGAATCCTCTTCTTATCCTCCCAGCTATGGGTAAATAGCAGGACAGATGGGGTTCTATAGCCTTGGATTGCAACTGGTCTACCGCAGAAAGAAATGGCAACTTACTGCGGGAAAAAATCTGCCTCGTCAGTCATGTATCGCAAGATACATGATCGCCTACGCGTGTATCACGCATGGCACATAACTGACTGACTAAGTTAGGCGATAATCTCACGAGAGCGGGTACTGAAAGTGAATGAGAAGACTTTAGTATGAAGACTGAACAATAAAAGAACAAGATTCAGGAAGACAGAAGATGGTGACTAATGTATTTTAATATTTGAAGATGATCGGTGGCAAGTAAGCAGGGTACCCGAAAAAGAAGCGTGAGAAACGAAACTATTAAAATAGAAGTTACGGTTGCATCTAGCTAGTTCAATAGTCAAACAATAAGACATATTTACCCATCTGGTAGTACGCGAAAATTCGCTTAAGGTACGAAAGAGGAGAGCTTATTAGAATAATTGCCATGAAAATATTTATAGAAAAGACAGAGAAGCCATGTCACGTCGATGGGAAAGTGACTGAAGTCGAAATACCAGGCCATGACTTATAACATTACAGCCCTTTATTTAGTTTTTGCCGATAGTTTATAGATACATGACAGGAACACTGTATCAGATATGGTACTAATATTCAATGCACGGACGAATGCTAAGTCTAGAAATATGCAAGATGGATTCTGACGATAAAAAATTGATTTGCACAGAGCACAGTGAACCAACTCTTCTAGCAGCAAATATAGCAGTTGATTCAATATAATCGCTCCATTTCATGTCAGTGGAAAACATGAGACTAAGGCACGAGCTGATCTGGAGGTTAGCATCAGCCATATTAATGAAAAGACAAATGTTCTCTATGATGATTCAAAAATAGCAGTTTCGTTTTAGATGTATTAAAATTTAAAAAAGCCATGTCTTGCCCCTATTAACAATTGATTGGAAGTTATTTATGCTTGTCTATCAGGGTAATGTCTCAGGGTATTTAGAATTGAACCCTTGATTTAATAGACGTGGTAAATATTGTCTCGTCCTGTTATCCATTTCTCGGAAAATCTCGTCTTTTTCTTATTTTAGTATCCTTGATTATTGATCACCTTGCTTCGACTGAGAATGAGTCGAAGTCAGCACTAGACGACTCGGGGATTTAACTCTGAGTTACTATGTCAACAAATTCACGGATTAACTGGGCCATTGGGATAATCCTGAATATAGAACTTAGAGACTTTAATCTGCTCAGACTGCCGCACAAATAGCAGGTGTATTAGCAGTGACGGCCGAAACATTGTGATAACAACAACAAAGACAAGGACAATATTCAAAAGTGTGAATAATGTAATAGAATCGTATGTCTTTTTTATAATCATTTCACTCCAAGCAAGGCAATAAGGCCACTAAGACGCAAGAGGATACTGAATATGAAATATTATGAGAAAAATAAAAAGAAAATATTATTAATGAGATAAAGAACAATAAAAAAAATAAAGAATTAAGACAGAAGTTAACTATGGTCAAAGCGTTATATACCGTACCTATGAACACTAATGGGTATATCCCAATCCTAACAAATAAGTTGGACACTATTGTAAGCGGGGGGTAATATGCTGTCTAAGTAGTTCACCACTAGAAGTGGTTTACCTACTTCACGCCGCTAGCGAGTATTGTATTTTGTTGATATTAAAAAGATTACCATTTCATTTCCAACCTCCGTTTTGGTTATTCCTCATTTAGTAACACCTTCTAAGGTACAACACACACATAGATAGATAGATAGATAGATAGATAGATAGATAGATAGATAGATAGATAGATAAGTAGCGTTATATACAGTACCTATGAACACTAATGGGTGTGCCCCAATCCTCATAAATACGTTGGACACTATTGAAAGTGGGGGTAAGATGCTTTCTCAGTAGTCCCCAACTAGCAGTGGTTTACCTAGTTCACGCCGCTGGCGAGTATTGTATTTTGTTGATGTTATAAATATTACCACTTCTTTTCCAACCTCCGTTTTGGTTTTTCCTCATTCAGTAACCTTTCTTTATGTTACAAAACAAAGTTTAGTGGAACGCCGTAGGCCGGAGGAGGTTTCAGTAAATGGGAAGAACTTATCAACTGTTTTGGGAGTTATCTGAAGCCGAAACACATTTTGAATTGTAGGAGTTTGGTATTAGGGGGTAAAACTATGACAAAGTTGAAAATGTTATTTTTTTTTGTGACGCGTTTCGTTTTATAGGACGTCGTCAGACTAAAGTGAAATCCATGTTGATGCCTCTACACATGCGGAACGAAGGAGTCTGAACGCTGAAAATTTTAAATTTAAATTGATTTTTTTTATTAGGTTGGTGCAAATATAATGACGTAATAATGTCGTTTTTTGACGTATTTTTAACGTCAAAAAACGACATTCTTACGTCATTATTTTTGCACCAACCTAATAATATATGTATTTTGTATTTATACCGACTGTAACAGCAAACATTGTCCAAATCGTGTAACTGCATGGGATAACTGTCCACCCCACGAAATGTTTAATATCCAACAAAACAACTAAACTAATTGAGTTTCTTTTTCTAGATTTTCAGATGATACGTTTAGCCATCTTGACATAATTTGTCGTAAGGATCACTGAAAACCCCTTTGAAAAAAGAAAGAAAGAAAGAGAACGTCTGTGGAATTCTTTTCCTGTTAATTGTTTCCCTGATAGCTATAATCTCCAACTAATCAAATGTAATGTCAATCGACATATCCTGATGCCTTGGTCTATTTCCTGTACTTCTATTCATCCTTCCTCTATCACGACTCTTTACTCTCGATCCCACTGTCTGTAACCCCTTGCGAGCTAGTGGCATCCCACCTTGCTTGGAGTGAAATACTTAAAAAAAAAGAACAGGTTAAAATCATTCTGTGTTAACTCCACTAAGTCTTCCCAAATTAGCAACGGTGAGAGGAAAAAGATCATTCAGTAATGGTAACAACATTCATACACTAGCTTCCATCTTCAAATCCCATTCAATAACCCCCAAGAGAACGGGGAATAAGTTTAAAAAAGATGGAACAGTAGTGAAGAAAACTGGATCAGGAGGTCACAACAGAAAGAGGGATCATCATTTCAACTTTTTTTTTAAGCGTTTCACCCCAAGCAGGGCGGAAAGCCGCGAGGACGCAAGGGGTTACAGAAGATTTGGAGCAAGATCAGATAGGAGTGATAGAGGAATGGATGAGGAGAAGGATAGTGGATAGATCAAGGCAACTGGAGATGTCGATTGACATTACATTTGAATTCTTGGAGATTATAGCTCTCAGGGAAACTGGAATAGGGAAGGGAGTTCCACAAGCGAGAGGTGCGAGATATGAAGCTATTGGAGTAGAAGAGACGGCTACATTTAATAGTTTCGACAGTGAAAGGGTGAGAGCGGGATGCCAGCCTCGTAGGGCGCTTGAACTCATGAAGTCTGGGAACCAGCGAATGCAGCTCCTTGGAGCAATTACCATGAAAGTATTTGTAAAAAAGACAGAGACGGGCAACGGCGCGTCTGTGAGAGAGCGACTGCAGACGAGATGCCAGAACAGGGCCAATTATATTGCATATCCGCCTCTGGATCTTATCAAGAACCCCGAGGCAAAAAGAAGGGGCTCCAGACCATATATGGCAGCAATACTCCATGCAAGGGCGAATTGTTGATTTGTAGATCTGAAGGATCGATTCCGGGGAGAAAAATTTCCTGGCGCGGCACAGGGAAAGTTAAATACATTTTTATTGTTCGAAGTAGAGTCCAATAGGGTTATAAAAACCTCGGAGAATTCCATTAATATATCTTTAATCATTTTAAAAATAGAACAGTTCATAGCTTAATCCAACAATTGGACAATTTTGCTGTCACAATCAGTATACTCGAACCAATTTCATTTAGTTTCGTTTTTTGTTTGTTCACGTTACCATCACATTTCTATGAGATCTGTCAAGGAATTTGCTTGCAAGCGGTCCACCATCTAAGTACTGACCGGACACGCAGCTGCTTAACTTTGGTGATCGAACAGAAATAAGCGTGATTTTAGCATAAATTTAAGATAGCAAGAGTCTTTTTTACAAACTGTAGTTTCAGCTGTTGTGCCATCCGGCCTTCATCAGGTGTATGTCATTCCAGGTAACATACAGAGAATTCAGAATTGAACCCTTAACTGTTTTCTTTCCACTACAGGCCGTGTGATTATCGCCTTACTTAGGATGAAACGATTTAACAAATAAGCACAACTCCTCTAGTTTTTATATCCTAGTATACAGCACAGTTATAGGGACAGGAAGTGTGTACGTGGAATCAGTAGAGAGAAGGCGAGTAATACCTTAGCAGTACTACGAATAAGAACTGGAAGATATATCCCTAGACATGAGCAGAATAGTCTAGCTCCGTAGATTAAATAAAAGCTTCAGTCTAGAATTCCTTGAAAGGTACTCAGATCGACAGACGGAAATAAGAATGATTTGATCCTCGTGCCGTCTAGAAATCGTATCAATTAATTTCACCTGAAACTTTTGTGTTATGGAAGACAAAACTTCTTGTATTCGCCTTTCAAGTTCTTCCAAAGTCTTGGTTTGGTATAGCGGATTTGCCAAAAAAAAAAGTCACAGTGAGTTAAGTCAAACGCAAGGATTTTATTTTGTAAGGTATTTAGATACAAAAGCAAAAATGTTATTGTTTTTTCAAAATTTTTAAATATTTGGCTAATCTGATGAATATTTATGACCGTTCTTCAATTTAAAAAATATCAAAAAAATCATTAGCATTTACCCCTTGTATATAAATAAAAAATAAGATCCTACTTGCATTTTCCTTGATAATGTCCCTCAGAGGATGAAACCTCTCGACTAAGTTTTCCTTTTTTGTCTTTATTCATTTATATATATATATATATATATATATATATATATATTAACTCTCTGACCATAACGAAGGAAAATAGCCTAGCCACTCCCACAATAACGAATTCTGTAACGGACCGTGCCTAAAAATACACGTAAACTGAGAGATAGCTTATTCCTAAAATTTCGCTTGAAGATGAAACGGGACTAAACACCACAATCCAACTTAATTTTAATAATTATTTGGATGATTTCGGCTCTCGTTTTTGAAACATGAGAACTCTTATGTAGCGAAGGAATCATATTTTTAAACAAAAAATATTATTAAATTGTATATATATATATATATATATATATATATATATATATATATATATATATATGTATATATGTGTGTGTGTGTGAAAAGTGTGTGTATATAAATGTAATATATATATATATATATATATATATATATATATATATATATATATAATTATTTATATATTATATGCTCAGTACTTATTAGAAAGCGCTCAATATCAGAGATAGAGCTAACATATTTGGTTGGATAGATGTGAGTTTGTCTGACGATCGCATAAGCGTGAAACCCAGGGTCACAAACTCACATCTATCAACCATATATATATATATATATATATATATATATATATATATATATATATATATATAGTGTGTGTGTGTCTGTGTGTGTGTGACAGAGAGGAGAGAGAAAAACAGTTGAAATGTAATGTTTTATTAATCTAACAGATTTTATCATATTAAACGTTATTTTTAGTAGTGCCTACATTTGAGTATGTTTCATCTACGGCAAGGGTCGGCAACCTTTTGATAACTATGTCTCCACCTAGGGTTTTAAAATCATCCAGTATGCCCACAGCATACGTATTTTTTTATACAAGTCAAGATCATTATCCCTGTTCTACAATATATTTTATATAGTAATATATAGTATATACGTCCTTTAGTATATAATAAAAGTGAAACGGCTAAATATCTTCTTTGCGTTGTAGTAGTTATTAGTTCGGACTTTGTGATGTCATTTGCGCCTGCGTGCCATTGAAATTTGTTTGGCGTGGCGCACGTTGTTTGCCGACCCCTGATCTTATTAATGAAAAAAGTCCTGCCCTAAGGCGCATCTCTTTCTTTAATAAGATTTCTAGAATATTCAGGCTGGTAGACGCAGTAAATAAATATACTGTAATAATATATAACAGGAGAGTCTACACAAACACCAATAAATCCACTAAAAGTAACGTTCAAATGATAATACACATATATGTATATATATATATATATGTGTGTGTATTCTTGCTTGGTGTATTTTCACTAAATTATTAGAGAATATTATTTGTTAATAGTTACACTTTTACGTTCTGTTAGTGAATGTTGATAATGAGATTGGTTAAAATATTGGTGGACTTCATGCATTAAAGTATCATGCCAAAAGAGGACTAATTCTTCATTTATTTTCTGCAATGCAACTTTTGGAAGCCAATGACATCTTCTTCTACGGCCGAGCCAGCAGCGTCCTCATGGAAGATTTCAGCAGCATTTTAAAATAGCATTACGGTCGGCTTTCATATTAGGTCGCATGAAGAATAAGGAGTGATTTCTAATGGGTTCAATTTAGAGAAATTATCTCGAATTAGCGTGACGCCTTCAGCACGCAATGGTTTTCGAAACGGCAAGGAAGACCTGCTGCTCATCCGGCCATGCAATTAACTTACATAAATATTGTGCAACCAACAATCACCAATTTTCTTGCTGACATGCACATGCATCTGTTTCAACCCGATCTTATCTATTTCTCTTTTTAGAAATTCTAACAAGCTTATATTGTATAAAACTAGAACCACTACCCATGTAATGGATAGCGGCTCGGACTGAGGAAAAAGAGAGCCGAGTTCGAATTCCAGTCTAACCCATTACATTCACTTACGTGGTAATACCGTTTGGAAAGGTATGAAGC